GAGTTACAAAACCGCACTCAGACCCATATGCACAACCTGCTGCCAATGGACCCATCTGGAAGGGGGACTCGGAGCTTGCCTGGGCTGGACAGCGCTACTTCCCAGACCGTCCTCAGGCCTCCCCTAGAGGGGCTCAGGCATTAGCATCCACCACAATCCCCTGGCATCCCCAGTTTCTGATCCCATAGGTCTGTCACGGGGCCCTGTCATCGACAGACCTCTAGCCTGCATCCTCAGTAATTCTGACGCAGAGGACCCAGGCCACCCTCGGGGAGACGCTCCTCCGCTGTGCCTTGTGAAGATCCCACTTTACAGAGAGCAGCAGGTTCAAGGGGCTGTGACTCATCAGGCCTTGCTGGGACTGCATTCTGGTGGCGGCTCTTACCCCACGAGAGCAGGAAGGACACCTGAACACGACAGCCCTGGCTGCCCACCAGTGGCCTTTTGGTTCGGGAGTAAAATGCAGCTAAAAGTTTAAAAACAAATGAGACCTAACTAGCAGTTGTTTATTACATTTCAACATATAATGCCCCATCTCCTCCTCCACCGAGATTTGCTCACTCTCTTCACCCACCTAAACATCTCTGAACAACCCGTGCCACAACTGCCTGATCTGTCACCATGGTAAGAGTTTTCTAAACCTCTATGCATAGGACTCAATTTGTCAGTAAAAACTGCCACCCGCGCTGTGCTTGCAGAAAAATGTCCATAAAGGCAGTACTGCGACTGGCAGATCGATGTTTATAATAAAAACAAATAAATTGAACAAGCGCCTGCTTTTACAAGCCACGCCATTGGTGGACTATCCATTCGGTGTCCCCCCACCCAGAGTTCTGGGAACAGGAGACAGGGCTGGAGACTTCACAAGCGTCACCGGTAGGAAATTATTCTAACGAGAAACTTTTGGGAGTAGGAGAGTGAACACGCCAGGCATTCACTGCGCTCTTGTCATTCCTTTCGTGCTTACACACCCTACGACTAATTTAACAACCAGAAGAAGATGTTTCTGTAGAATTTGTAACTGGTTTTATAACAGCGACCTCACACACCAAATGAGTGGACTCCAGGTGGGGTGAAGGGGACACGAGGCCTCCTTGGAGAACCCTATTTTGCTGCCGAGCCGCTGATTTAACTGAAAACAACCGTGGTGTCAAAATCAAGCTTCACCATTGACAGCATCTGCGGCGGGAACCCCAGGGCAGCCTATTCAGTTGCTTAGCTAAGAGCCACGGGAGCGTGGGCTGCTGCAGACTGACTTCACTACCCGGCCCCGAGCACCTCGGCAGGACTCAGTGATCCCTTTACAGAAGAACCACACCTGCCAAAGCCACTCTGATGCTTCAAGGATGAACAAGAGTCACAAAAATGATTTCTTCCTCTTCTTGAATAAATGACTTTAATAGTTCTATGAAGGAGTAAGTCATTCATTCCATTCCATACTATACTCATTAATTATATAATTTCCCCCAAACTATGCAGCCCTCCTATACAAGCTGTACTATTTTTGTAAGTCAAAAGAAAATTAGACTGTTTCCACCAACCAGCAGATACTCAGCAGTTAAGGAAAAGCCACAGAACACACAACTTGCAATATTTGGTCCACAACACAAGGCCTCCAACTTCCACCTACCTCTACCCAAGACAGGCCTGCAGAGCTAACGGGTCAGGTCAACAAAACCCTCATGCCAACCAAGGGCCCTCCTGCATAGCTCAAACCTCCTCCCCTCCCAGATCAACCCTTTCACTTCAAACCAAGAGTAGGGCATACAGCCGGCTTGCACATCAGGGGTGCCTATAAAAAGGCTGACCATGGGCAACCCATGGTCACGTGACGGTTTCTGTGTCTGATTTTAAAACCTTCAGGTTTGGTTTAAATAATATTCTGCCAGGCCAGGCATGGTGGCTCACAACTATAATCCCAGCAATTTGGGAGGCCTAAGGGGGAAGATCGCTTCAGTCCAGGAGTTCGAGACCACTCCAGGCAACATAGAGAGACACTGCCTCCACAAAAAAAAAAAAAAAAATTAGCCAGGTGTGGTGGCACACACCTATAGTCCCAGCCACTTGGGAGGTGAAAGCAGGAGGTTCGCTTGAGCCCACAAGTTTGAGGCTGCAGTGAGCTATGATCTCAGCACTGTACTCCAGCCTGAGCAACAGAGCAAAACCTTGCCTCTAAAAATAATAAAATAATATTCTTGAATAAGACCCCAGCTCTTTCAGAAAGCTGCTGTATCGAAAGCTACCTGTCCCAGGAAACAGACGGTCAGTAAGGACCGTAGCAACAGCCGGGAGCTGAATGAGCACAGGGCCCTTCAGCCTCTGCGAGGCTCAATGTGTCCCCTGGAGGGACTAGAATCCCAAAAGGAAGTAAAAAGCCTCAGGGAAAGTGGGTCTGGACAAGGAACTTTATGCTGGGGCAAGGGGGTCAGATTAAAGCATGAAAAAAAAAATGTTAAAGGAAAAGACAATGCAGAAAAATTCAGTTCTGCCTCCCCCGTTTTTTTTTTTTTCTATCAAAGAGAATATACTATAAACTGAAAAGGGCATTAACACCAAAAAACCTGAGTGTTCAAATCACTGGCTCCTAAGTGTATGTCCTCTGCAAAATAAGAACAAGTACGTTTATTTTATTATAAAATACTGAAGAGTCAGGGTTTTGGTGTCCTAAGAAAGGGAGGGAAGGCAAGTTCTTCTTCAGGCCTTGCCCTGTCCCCTTCTTCCCTGCAGAACAGAAGAGGCCCTGACTAAGACACCTGTGAAGGAAACTCAAACTCACCTGGGATGGGAAGGCCCAGGTGATCTCAAACAAAGACCTGACAGACAGCCCTGACCTTCTCTACCAGAGGAAAAGGTTTAGGAATCTGAGCAGCCAAACAACTATAACCTAACTAACAGCCTTTTTAACACAGTAGCCTTTTTAAAGTAGTGCCTAACAGCCCTTTTAGAGTGACGCCTAATTCTATTAACCCTTATTGTGATACAGACTTTTTTTTTTCCCTTGAGACAGAGTTTCACTCTCTTTGCCCAGGCTGGAGTACAATGGTGAAATCTCAGCTCACTGCAACCTCCACCTCCAGGATTCAAGTGATTCTCCTGCCTCAGCCTCCCAAGTAGCTGGGATTACAGGCATGGACCACCAGGCCTGGCTAATTTTTGTATTTTTAGTAGAAATGGGGTTTCATCATGTTGGCCAGGCCAGTCTTGAACTCCTGATCACCCAAAGTGCTGGAATTACAGGTGTGAGCCAGTGTCCTAGCCCAGATATATATTTCTAAACAAAAAGCCTATTTACATTGAAAAGTACCTGAGTATAGCTCTGTACTGGAGGCCTACTTCATCCCGGTCCCTCGACTGTGGCAAACACTACTCCACTATTCAAATTGTCACCTGAGAGGGAGGGCCCCAGAAGAGAGACACTGGCAGAGAAAGGCCAGCTCTCCTCTGGTACTTGCAAGTAGGCTCTGGTCCCATAAGGTTTCCTGGCCCTCTGAGTGAACGTGATGTTAACCACCAGCCAGGCTCTGAAGCGGTTTCCTCCAAAGTTTTCACACCCCCACCCACCAAATGTGCAAAGCTTTCAGTTTTTTAGAACCTTGTTCATCCCCCTGAGTGTTTTAGCAGTTGAGACAGCCCGGAAAATAACAAAACCATCACCAAGTCACCTGCCCAGGGACGGGGGAGATGATGGGGGAGTCTGACCTAACAGATACTCTACAGGTGTATACTTGATGCTTATGTAAATTACCCGTCTAATGCTCAGCTCTCCGCGCTCAACCACTTAACATTCGGGACCAAGCCACTTTCCTTTGTCTGATGATGGTCCCAGCAGGCAAAGGTTGCACACGTGTACAAAGCCTGCTTTCCAGGACAGAAAGCCAGCTACTCAGCTGAGGCAACTGAGAGCAACCACCCTCAGGTTTCAGGAGATGATGAATCCACAAGCACGAAGTACATAGTTCAGAACTCCTCAGCAGCGTTACCACTGGCGGGGGAAAGGCGATGCCCAGTGCGCGGGGCTCTCGAACCCGCCTTGCTTACTCTAAGTGTTGAACACAATTAGGGTGTGATATACACAAACTCCAGCCATGGTAACGAGGAGGCCCTTAGAACTTGGCCTCCAGCAGGAAGTTAATATGGAACTCTGCCCAAGTATGCTAAAGGCTTGCTGCAAGCCAAGGCCTGCGCAGGGGCTTCTGGAAGCTTCCCGCCGCAGCTAGAGGCACGAAGAGCCCAGGAACTGGGGCTGGCACCCGGAGGTAAGGCAGGGGCTGCCACGACCGCCGCCCCACGCGAGGCCACAGTCACTGCAGGGCAGCCTGGTCCAGGAACCCCAGGCACCAGGGAAGGCTGGGGCAGGTGGGGATCAGGGCAGCCCCAGCCCCGACGGCGGGGTGAGGGCGCCTGCAGGACCACTCGAGGCTGCCGCCTTCCCCAGGGAGAGCCCCGCACTGTGCCGGGAGCTAGGCGGCTCAGACACTCACCAAGTCGCAAACGGTGCGGACCGCGAGTACCTGCAAGCGCCGGGACGCAAAATGTTCCAGAAGCGCGGGCTGCCCCAGCATATCCGGGGCGCGGGGGCGGGGCCAGGGCTGAAGGGCGGGGGGAGGGGGCGGGGCCGAGGGGCACGGGGGCTGGCGCCGGCGCCGGGGGGCGGGACCTAGAGCGGGGCGGAGCGGAGAACCTGAGAGAAGCCTGAGAGTGAGCGGGGGCGGGGCCAGGGCTGCGGGGCGGGAACGGGGGCGGGGCCGAGGGGAACGGGGGCTGGCGCCGGGGGGCGGGACCTAGAGCGGGGCGGAGCGGAGAACCTGAGAGAAGCCTGAGAGTGAGAGGGGGCGGGGCCAGGGCTGCGGGGCGGGAACGGGGGCGGGGCAGAGGGGCACGGGGGGCTGGCGGCATGGGGCGGGGTCTAGAGCGGGGCGTAGCCGAGGACCTCAGAGCGGTAGGAAAGCGAGCAGGGGCGGGGCCGACGCCGGGGCTGGAGCGCGTGGAGTCTGCGCATGCTCAGTGCGACCGCCGGGCCTGAGCCCCTCTGCGCAGCCTCGCTGGACGCGGCTACGCTGCCCCTGGTCCTCCCGCGGCGCCGGCCCTGGCCTGGGCGCCTGACCCCGACGGCCCTTCAGCTGGTACGAGCCCAGGCAGACCCTTCCCTGCTTCCGCCTCAGGCTCTGTGCCTCATTTTGCCAAATAGCCTGTACCTTTTCCTGTCATAGGGATAGTCCGCGGGCGTGCATGCGGCCTGCCACGTGCCCAGGTAGTCCTGAAGGCGCGCGGGTGTCGGAGGACGGCACCCCCTTAGTGAGAATCCCAATCCTGCTCAGGGCGGCTGCGCTGAGCCCGGAGAGCGAGTGTCTCCCCTCGGGGGGTCTCCCCCTCCCACTCCCGTCAGAGACCCCCAGACCAGCAGAGACCCTGCAAGGGGACTGTGGAGGCAGCCTCCAGGGCCTGTGGTGGACGGTCCTGTCCAGGGGCTGCAGTCAGTCAAGGCCTAGACACTGCCGGGGCCTGACTCAGCTGCTCTCCAGAGAGCTCACAGGGTGCCAGGCGCTGCTTGGGCTTGTGTGACCATTATTAGGAGTTGAATTGTGTCCACCAGAAAAGCGATGTTGGAGTCCTGACTCCCAAAATCTCACAGTGCGACCTTATTTGGAGAGGTAACAAGTGAAAATGAGGTCATCAATTAGTGGCCCCTAATCCAGTATGCCTTGTGTCCTTATAGGCAGAGGCCGCTTGGAGAGAAGGATTGAGGGGTTGCACCTGCAAGCCGCCAGAAGCCGAAGAGGGCAGACCCTTCCCTGGAGCCTTCGGAGGGAGCAGAGGACAGACCCTTCTCTGGAACCTTCGGAGGGAGCAGGATCCTAACACATCTTGGTTTCAAACTTCTGTGAGATAACAGGTTTCTGTGATTTAAATCACTCATTGTGTGTCACTTGATTGTGGCAGCCCTAAGCAGTGGTTACAGAAACCATTGTCTAAAATGATGGGCATAACCACCCCACTGAGTAGTATCATCCCTGGAGGCTTCAGAGAGGTCACACACCCCTTAGCAGATTCAGGGGTCCCATCCAAGGCCCACATGCCCTGAGCCACCATGCTACAGGCCTTCTAGGTTCTGTTTGTTTTCTTAATGGAAAGGGATCTTCTCCTCCTGATAAATCTTCCCTGTTGGGATTTGGCCAGTGCTCATACCTTCGTATATGTGACTTGTAGGATGCTACATATTACTATGGGTGATAAGGGTTGTTCCGAGGAGAACTTCAGCAGGATTTGCTTTCAGATGAGCCCTGGGGACAAGACAGGCTGCACCACTGATCCTCTGAGGTTGCCCAGCCTACACCATGCCTTGGATGAGACACGTTTTAAATAGCTGCTTGTGGAAAATAAACTAGGCCCTGAGTACACACTCATGGTCAAATAAAGGCACTTTTTCTCCACTGAGCCTAGACACAGCCTCGGAATCCTTCTCAACCCCTTGTTCCAAGCAGCCATTCACATTTAAACTAATGTGGAAGGAGAGATGAGACGTGTTTGCCCTTGGCTCTGGTCTTTTCTATTAGCCTTCTTGCAAGACTTCAGGAAACTTATCTGACTTCTCTAATTCTGTTTCATCCTCTGTAAAGGAGTCTTACAATAGTGCACCCTACATGTATATAGACTGTCCTCATGTGTGAGGGCACGTGTGCATAGGGAAAATAAAGCACACCACACTGCTAAGAAATAATGCTATACACCTGCCCTTCTGCAGCCTGTCACTACCAGGACCCAGTTAGAACTGGGACCCTAACAGCAGCAAAGGAAAATCAAGGCCAGGATTGAATCTGAGTTCCCACTGGGACTCTAGCAAGTGTGCTGTTAACTAGTTTTGCAGTTAACACGTGACTCATACTTTTAGCTGAATAACATTTTAATATGAATCCCTGAACCTTTTATTTATTTCTTTGTCATACTCTAAGTTCTGGGGTGCACGTGCAGATCGTGCATGTTTGTTACATAGGTATACATGTGCCATGGTAGAGTTTTGCTGCATCCATCACCCCATCATCTAAATTAAGCATTTCTCCTAATGCTATCCCTCCCCAATCTCACCACCCCTTGCTGTTCCTCCCCTAGACCCCCGCTCCCCAGGCCCTGGTGTGTGATGTTCCCCTCCCTGTGTCTGTGTGTTCTCACTATTCAACACCCACTTATGAGTGAGAATATGCAGTGTTTGATTTTCTGTTCTTGTGTCAGTTTGCTGAGAATGATGGGTTCCAGTTTCACCCATGTTCCTGCAAAGGACATGAACTCATCTTTTTTATGGCTGCATAGTATTCCATGGTGTATATGTGCCACATTTTCTTTATCCAGTCTATCATTGATGGACATTTGGGTTGGTTCCAGGTCTTTGCTATTGTGAACAGTGCGGCAGTAAACGTGTGCATGTGTCTTTATAATAGAATGATTTATAATCCTTTGGGTATATACTCAGTAATAGGATTGTTGGGTCAAAGATATTTCTATTTCTAGATCCTTGAGGAATCTCCACACTGTCTTCCACGATGGTGGAATTAATTTACACTCCCACCAACAGTGTAAAAACGATCTTATTTCTCACATCCTCTCCAGCATCTGTTGTCTCCTGAATCCCTAAACTCTTAAGAAAAAGAGACTAGCCAGTCTTAGCATCTCTGATTCCCCACCCGAGGAAAGAAAGGCCAGTATGGTAATCCAAAGGCCTTTTAGGAGGGGCCCGTGGGAATGGGGAGGCAGTGCATGAAAGTACTGGCTTCTGGGGAGATGTGGGGACTGGCTCTGGCCCCACTGGCAGGACTCAGTCCCATTGCTGGCGCAGTGGTAAGGACTGTGTGAAGGGCTGTAGCTACTTCCATGATAAAGGCTGTGTCTGTCGGGGGGCTCCAGAATCAGGAGCCAAATAAGGGTCTCTAGAGCACAGACAGGCAAGAGGAAAAAACCACCACCTGACCAAGGACTGGCCTGCAAAAGACCAGGATTCAAGGATGTTGAATCCTTGAATTCAACTCAGGCTGTTGAATGAGCAGAGCCCAAACCCATACTCCCTACACTTGCGGTGCACATTCCTCCTTTCGTCATGGTAATTTCAAAAAACTCCCATTTTCATCAAGAGCTCCGCACGCCTCTCCCCCTTGTCCATTACAATCTCATCATCACCTGCATGTTCATCCTACTGTTAAAGGAACACAGGATGGCTCCAAAGCAGGAAGATCACCGGGTGCACAGGACATGGAGGCTCGGGGTACGGCCCAGCCCTGCCCCTCATGGAGCAGCCACCTGACTTCTCCATTCGAAGGATGACAGCATAGGACTAGCTGGCTGAGATTCCTTCGAGGTCTCCCATCTTCAGATTAACAAAGCATAACCCCTTTTTCTCCGGCACAGATTCCTATGAAGAACTTTTTAGAAAGAGGTTGGAAAACCACGAAAGGTTATGCTCAATGCCAGTCAGACTTCTTGAAGGAGCTCCTTGGATTTCCTTTAGGATCAGCCAGCTTTCTCGTGGGCACTGGGGACAATGTGAATTTGCATAGTTTCCTTAAACATCCAAATGGATACTTTTCAGGTTAAGCAAATGAACACGACATGTGATTGCTTTTAATGATTTGCAACCCAAGAAATTTGTTTAATAAGCCTGTCTTCCCAAGCTACTTTTGTGACATTAGAGACCATTTACAACAAAGCTGTCTTCAGTAGTCAAACTTAATCCTTACTACCCTACCTTTGGGAAATGAAGGGATTTTATAACGATCACATAAAACCTTATGTGGCTTGAAAGCCCCAAACTCCGGACAAATGTGTGTTGGTCGTGTAACAGAAGAAAGATGTTACAGAGCTCCCCACTGTAAGTGTTTTACATATGGTTTGCCTTTAGGATAGCATCTCTGGTGGACGGCTTTGCTGATTAACACAATTGATTTTCTTAGCCCCAGTGTTCCTGTAAATGTTAGAGCCAAGAGCTGGAGTCAGCTCCTTGGACCTGGGAGAGGCCAGGAGGCCAGAGGGCCTAGAGGACTCTGGAGGAAGAAGCCTGAAATGGAAAGGTGGGGGCCATCAGTCCTGGGGGGTAGGTGCCAGGTGCTTCTGATTACACTCTTTGTGACACAGTTGTCAGCATGGCAAAGGCATCGTGGTGGGACTGCAGCAGGGATGTAATCCAGGAGTGGGCAGGAAGGAAGGGCTTCAGGCTTTGCCTCACACAGATGGCAAGGGCATGGTGCAGGGTGGAGAAAGGGTATGGGGCTGCAACTAACATGGGAGGGGATCCTTAACTCTTGCATTTTTCCAGAGAGGCAGAACACCCCCCTGCCAGGAGCCCCTGGGAGCTTCTGTTGAGATCTGGAACCCTTCAGGCCCTTTTGTTTCAAGAAGGGCAGAAAGGGTAATTCCTAAGGAAATGAAGCAGAGGCAGCCCAAAGACTCCTGTTGGAAAGACTTTTCCTGAAACTTCCTTTGCTAGCGTGGGCGCAGGGCCTGGAGATGGATGTATGGGACTTGTTGCAGGCCCCTGAGGGGCTTGTAGTTGAATGGCTCACAGATAAGGAAATGGTTTGGTCTCTGGAGCAGTGAACCTCTACCCAGGAGATGCACGGCGGTGGGGGGCAATGGGAGTGCGAAGGAAGGCCCCTCCCTGCGTCGACACTCCCTACAGCAAGGCCTTTTCTTTTCTTTTTCTTTTTTTGTCGAGACAGAGTCTCTCTCTTGCCACCCAGGCTGGTGTGCAATGGTGCTATATCAGCTCACTGCAACCTCTACCTCCCAGGTTCAAGTGATTCTCCACCTCAGCCTTCCAAGTAGCTGGGATTACAGGTGCTCACCACCATGCTAGCTACATTTTTTATATTTTTAGTAGAGACAGGGTTTCACCATGTTGGCCAGGCTGATCTTGAATGCTTGAGTTCAGGTGATCCACCAGCCTTGGCCTCCCAAAGTGCTAAGATTACAGACGTGAGCACCCATGCCTGCCCCAGCCAGCCCTTTTCAAGGGCCCCAGTGTGTAGTGGGTAGCCCATTGTGGAATTCAGATCCAGTTGTCCAGTAATCAGCAGACAAAGAGATCATTGCCAACTTTATATAGCTCTTCCCTCCAAAATGTGCCAACGTTAGACAATTGACTACCTGAAGAATGTACATAATGTATGTAAACAAGCAAAGTCCACTCTTCAGATGTATTTATTTGGATACGTTGGCTTGGACAACTACCTACACAAATGGAAACACTTGGGAGGATGTTTTCGCAGCCTGGGAGGGGCTGTTTGAGTGCCTGTGACTCAGGGCTGGCATTTTGTTTGATGTCGGCCCTTTTTAAACCAGCTCCTACACTCATTACAAAGTGTTTTTGATCCATTTTCGGGAAGGGCTTTGTTTGTAACACATGGTTGGCAGTTTGGGCAGAATCTTTTAAGTGGTGTGAAGAGCTGGGGAGTGTGCACCTGGGTCGCTGGGAGGAAGTGCGTCTCCCCCCCTCCCCTGCCCCACTGGGATGAACCAGAAGTGCCCGTGCTTTTGTGACTTGGAAATTAAAGCAAGAGATGTGGGGCTTTCGATGCTGAGGTTGTGATTTGCTGTCATTTGCTTCTGAGTGGGAAACCACGAATGAAGTTAAGACAGGAGAAAGAGCTACACCGAGGGTTCTGTCTCAGTCACCAAAATACAAATTTGGAAAGGAAAAGTGGCTGCATTTCCTCCCAGGGTAACTGCTTCAATCCAGCCTAGTGCATTGAACCATGGCTGTAAAGTAACAGGAGGCCAGTGTGGGAGAGTGATCGTCACCTGAGCAGCAGAATTGGTACTGGGGCTGGTGCCGGCGTCCCATCATTTCTTGGCCTGATGTAACCGCAATCAATCTGGGAGTCAGGAATGACGGACACTGTGGTCCTCAGAATGACCCCTCCATCTGTCTCAGCAGCAGCTCCTGGAAACGAGGGTCCCTCCCTTCTTGTCCAGGAACCCACAGGACAGGAAAAGGACAGAATCTTCATTCTTGGTGGGGTTGGGGAAAGTTTATTCATTCTTGGCTGGGGTAGGGAAAGTTGTGAAGCTGGGGGTGCTCATTTCTCGATGACAGCAGTGTCGGGCGGCCTTTGCAAGTGAAGGAGGCCCAGTCCCAAGCCGCCAAACCCAAAGGACCTTTATGAGAGAGTGAACCACTACAGCCCAGGGAAAGAAAGGCAGGAGGACTCCAGGGCTCAGAGGCTGGGCTCGGCTCTCATTCTCTGGGCCCTCACAGGACTTCCTCTTCTCATCTTCCCCAGCTCCAGGCAGGCTTCACCCACCCAGCACCCAGAGTTACATCCTTTCAGCTCTGTGCCCCCAGAGTTGAGATACACAATGGCATTTGTGTATTGAACCATATCTAAGCTCTCTCTCAGCTTCCCCCAAAAATAATCTTAGGGAAGGGCTCCAGTTGGCCTGCTATGGATGACTAGGACAGCTGTGGACCAATCACAGTGGGCAGAGGCATGAGGTTCCCTCCCAGCCAGTGGCATGCACCTACCACAGCCTGGAGAACAGGTCTGACACAGGAATGAAGAGGAAGGTGTGAGAAGGGCAGGATCACCATGAGGTTGTAAGCCACTAACTTTGTATCCTCCCTGTTCACCGGAACAGCATGCCTGCTCTGTGCCAATCCCGTCCTGTGTGCTGAGCACTGCATACTCATGTGCTGTCTTCCATTAAGTCTTCATAACTCTTCATCTACCAGTTGTGTGCAGGTTGGGTTGGAGAGGGCCTGGTGAGGAAGGGGCTGGGGGTGCTCTGCTTCCTACAGCCTCATCTTCCCAAAGAATAAAGGGGGTCTGGATACTAAATAAGTGCCCACTGGGTCTGACTCTGGACAGTGGAGCTTTCCAGGAAGCCTGTTGACAAGGGGATACATTTCATGAAGCTGGACAGCAAGACAACCTGGTGCCAACCCAGGGCACTCTCTTAGCCTTGTCCCCACCCCAAGGCCAAGCAAAAGCATTGGCAAGTCTGTGCCTTGGTTCTTTGTCTTAGGGGTTAATCTTAATTAGCACATTTATTGGAGATTCATTAAGATACTAAAGAACTAGAAAGATAGGACTTGTAGAAATTAATGATAATACAGTCGTGCAACACATAACGACGTTTTGGTCAACAGCAGACTGCCTGTGTGATGGCGATGGCATTAAGACTGTGATGGAACTGAGACACTTTTGTTAATTGTATTTGGGCTCTGGGTGCATGTGCACATCTTGCAGGATTGCTGCACAGGTACATACATGCCACGGTGGTTTGCTGTCTCCATCCTTCCCCTCTCCCGCCACATCCCCTACATGGGGCATTTCTCCTGGTGTTATCCCTCTCTGCCCTCCCCGTGCCTCCCTGCTGTCCCTCCCCTCCCCTCCACCCCCCCCCCCCCACCTAGCCCAGTGAGTGTGGTTCCCTTCCCTGTGCCCAGGTGTTCTCATTGTTCATCACCCACCTATGAGTGAAAACATGTGGTATTTGGTTTTCTGTTCTTGTGTCAGTTTGCTGAGAATGATGGTTTCTAGATTCATCTATGTCCCTACAAAGGACACAAACTCGTCATTCTTTATGGCTGCATGGCATTCCATGGTGTATGTGCCGCATTTTCTTTGTCCAGTCTATCATTGATGGGCATTTGGGTTGGTTCCAGGTCTTTGCTACTGTAAACAGCACTGCAACGAACATGTGTGCATGTGTCTTTATAATAGAGTGATTTATAATCCTTTGGGTATATACCCAGTAATGGGATTCCTAGGTCAAATGGTAGTTCTGGTTCTAGATCCTTGAGGAATCGCCACACTGTCTTCTACAGTGGTTGAACTAATTTACACTCCCGCCAGTAGTATAAAATGTTCCTTTTTCTCCACATCCTCTTCAGCATCTGCTGTCTCCAGATTTTTTAATGATCACCATTCTAACTGGCATGAGATAACATCTCAATGTGGTTTTGATTTGCGTTTCTCTAATGACCAGTGATGATGAGCATTTTTTCATATGTTTGTCGGCCTCATGTATGTCTGTCTTCTTTTGTAAAGTGTCTGTTCATATTCTTTGCCCACTTATGAATGGGTCTGTTTGTTTTTTTCTTGTAAATCTGCTTTAGTTCTTTGTAGATTCTGGATATTAGCCCTTTGTCTGATGGGTAGATTGCACAAATATTTTCCCCTTCTCTTGGTTGCTGGTTCACTCTAATGATAGTTTCTTTTGCTGTGCAGAAGCTCTTAAGTTTAATTAGATCCCATTTGTCTATGTTGGCTTTTGTTGCCAATGCATTTGGTGTTTTGTTGCCACTGGTCATTACAGAAATGCAAATCAAAACCTTGCCTGTGCCTATGTCCTGGATGGTGTTGCCTAAGTTTTCTTCTAGAGTTTTTATGGTGTTAGGTCTTATGTTTAAATCTTTAATCCATCTACAGTTAATTTTTGTATAAGGCGTAAGTAAGGAAGGGGTCCAGTTTCAGCTTCCTGCATATGGCTAGCCAGTTTTCCCAACACCATTTATTAAACAGGGAATCCTTTCCCCATTGCTTGTTTTTGTCTAGTTTGTCAAAGATCAGATGGTTATAGACATGTGGTGTTGTTTCCAAGGCCTCTGTTCTATTCCATTGGTCTATATCGCTGTTTTGATACCAGTACCATGCTGTTTTGATTATTGTAGACTTGTAGTATAGTTTGAAGTCAGGTAGCATGATGACTCCAGCTTTGTTCTTTCTTCTTAGGATTGTCTTCACTATGCAAGCTCTCTTTTGGTTCTGTATGAAGCTTAAAGTGGTTTTTTCCAGTTCTGTGAAGATCAATGGTAACTTGATGGGGATAGCATTGAATCTATAAATTACTTTGGGCAGTATGGCCATTTTCACAATAATGATTCTTCCTAACCATGAGCATGGAATGTTTTTGTATCTGTCTGTGTCCTCTCCCATTTCCTTGAAGTGGTCTGTAGTTCTCCTTGAAGAGATCTTTTACATCCTTTGTTAGTTGTATTCCTAGGTATTTTATTCTGTTTGTATCATTGTAAATAGGAATTCGCTCATGATTTGGCTCTCTGTTTGTCTGTTGTTGGTGTATAGGAATGCTTGTGATTTCTGCACATTGATTTTCTATCCTGAGACTTTGCCAAAGTTGCTTATCAGCTTAAGGAGGTTTTGGGCTGAGACGGTGGAGTCTTCTATCCATATATTTAATATGTCATGTTGTCTGCAAATAACGACAATTTGACTCCTTCTTTTCCTAATCGAATTCCCTTATTTCTTTTTCTTGCCTAATTACTCTGGCTAGAACTTCCAATACTATATTGAATAGGAGTGGTGGGAGAGGGTATCCTTGTCTAGTGCCAGTTTTTAAAGGAAATGTTAGTTTTTGCCCATTTAGTATGATACTGGCTGTTGGTTTGTTATAAATAGCTTTCATTACTTTGAGATACATTCCATTGATACCTAGTATATTGAGAGTTTTTAGCATAAAGGCTGTTGAATTTTGTTGAAGGCCTTCTCTGCATCTATAGAGATAATCATGTGGTTTCTGTCTTTGGTTCTGTTTTTGTAGTGGATTACGCTGATATATTTTTGTATGTTGAGCCAGTCTTGCATCCCTGGAATGAAGCCTACTTGGTTGTGGTGGAGAAGCTTTCTGATGTGCTGCTGGATTCAACTTGCCAGTATTTTATTGAAGATTTTTACATCAATGTTCATCATGGATATTGGCCTGTAGTTTCCTTTTTTAGTTGTGTCTCTGCCAGGTTTTGGTATCAGGATGATGTTGATCTCATAGAAAGAGTTTGGGAGGATTCACTCTTTTTGTATTGTTTGGAATAGTTTCAACAGGAATGGCACCAGCTCCTCTTTGTACATCTGGCAGAATTCAGCTGTGAACCTGTCTGGACCTGGACTTTTTGGTTGGTAGGCTATTAATTGCTGCCTCGACTTCAGACCTCATTATTGGTCTATTCAGGGTTTTAACTTCTTCCTGGCTTAGTCTTGGGAGTGTGCAAGTGTCCAGGAATTTATCCATTTCTTCCAGACTTACTGGTTTATGTGCATAGAGCTGTTTATAGTAATCTCTGATGGTAGTTTTTATTTCCAAGGAATCGGTGGTGATATCCCCTTTATCATTTTCTATTGCATCTATTCGATTCTTCTCTCTTTTCTTTTTTATTAGTCTAGCTAGCCATCTATCTATTTTATTGACCTTTTCAAAAAACCAGCTCCTGTATTTACTGATTTTTTGAAGGGTTTTTTTGTGTCTCTGTCTCCTTCAGTTCTGCTCTGATCTTAGTTATTTCCTGTCTTCTGCTTGCTTTTGAATTTTTTTGATCTTGCTCCTCTAGCTCTTTCAATTTTGATGATACGGTGTTGATTTTAGATCTTTCCTCTTTTCTTGTGTGGGCATTTATTGCTATAAATTTCTCTCTAGACACTGCTTTAAATGTGTCCCATAGATTCTGGTATATTGTGTCTTCATTCTCATTGGTTTTGAAGAACATTTTTATTTCTGCCTTCATTTCATTGTTTATCCATTCATCATGCAGGAGCAAGTTGTTCAGCTTCCATGCGATTGTGCGGTTTTGAGTGCTTTTCTTAATCCTGAGTTCTAATTTGATTGTACTGTGGTCTGAGAGACTGTTTGTTATGATTTCCGTTCTTTTGCATTTGCTGAGGAGTGATTTACTTCCAATTATGTGGTCAATTTTAGAGTAGGTGTGATGTGGTGCTGAGAAGAATGTGTATTCTGTGGATTTAGGGTGGAGTGTTCTGTAAATATCTATTAGGTCTGCTTGGTCCAGATCTGCGTTCAAGTCCTGGATATCCTCGTTCACTTGCTGTCTTGTTGATCTGTCTAATATTGACAGTGGAGTGTTCAAGTCTCCCACTATTATTGTGCGGGAGTCTAAGTCTCTATGTAGGTTGTTAAGAACTTGCCTTATGTATCTGGGTGCTCCTGCATTGGGTGCCTGTATTTTTAGGATCGTTAGCTCTTCTTGCCGCATTGATCCTTTTACCATTGTGTAATGTCCTTCTTTGTCTCTTTTTATCTTTGTTGCTTTAAAGTCCATTTTATCAGAGACTAGGATTGCTACCCCTGCTTTTTTTTTGCTCTCCATTTGCTTGGTAGATCTTCTTCCATCCCTTTATTTTGAGTCTATGTGAGTCTTTGCATGTGAGATCGGTCTCCTGAATACAGCACACTGATGGTTCTTGAATTTTTATCCAGTTTGCCAGTCTGTGTCTTTTGATTGGGGCGTTTAGGCCATTTACATTCAACATTAATACTGTTATGTTTGAATTTGATGCTGCCATTTTGTTACTGGCTGGTTGTTTTGCCCGTTAGTTGATGTGGCTTCTTCATTGCATCATTGTCTTTACCATTTGACACATTTTTGCAGTGGCTGGTACTAGTTGTTCCTTTCCACGTTTAGTATTTCCTCCAGGAGCTCTTGTAAGGCAGGTCTTGTAGTGACAAAATATCTCAGCAACTGCTTGTCCATAAAGGATTTTATTTCTCCTTCACTGTGAAGCTTAGTTTGGATGGATATGCAATTCTGGGTTGAAAGTTCTTTTCTTTAAGGATGTTGAATATTGGCCCCCACTCCCTTCTAGCTTGTAGAGTTTCTGCCAAGAGATCCACTGTGAGTCTGATGGTCTTTCCTTTGTGGGTGAATCGACCTTTCTCTCTGGCTGCCCTTAGGATTTTTTTTCTTCATTTCAACCCTGGTAAATCTGGAGCTTATGTGCCTTGGGGTTGCTCTTCTTATGGAATATCTTTTTGGTATTCTCTGTATTTCCTGGATTTGAATGTGGGCCTGCCTTGTTACGTTGGGGAAATTCTCTTGGATAATATCCTGAAGAGTGTTTTCCAACATGGATTCATTCTCCCCGTCACATTGAGGTATGCCAATCAAGCATAGATTAGGTCTTTTCACCTAATCCCATAGTTCTTGGAGGCTTTGTTTGTTCTTTCTACTTTTTCTCTTTCTCTTGCCTTCTCATTTTATTTCATTGATTTGATCTTCTATCTCTGATATCCTTTCTTCTGCTTGATCAATTCCGCTGTCGAAACTTGTGTATGCCTCGCGAAGTTCTTGTGCCGTGTTTTTCAGCTCCATCAAGTCATTTATGTTCTTCTCTAAGCTGGTTATTCTAGTTAGCATTTTGTCTAACCTTTTTTTAAGGTTCTTAGTTTCTTTGCATTGGGTTAGAACATGACCTTTTAACTCAGAGAAGTTTGTTATTATCCACCTTCTGAAGCCTGCTTCTGTCAGTTTGTCAAACTATTTTTCTGTCTTATTTTGTTCCCTTGATGGTGAGGAGTTGTGATCCCTGGGACGGGAAGAGGTGTTCTGTTCTTTGATGGTTTCATCCTTTTTGCGCTGGATTTTTCCCATCTTCATGGATTTATCTCCCTTT